TCCTTCACATGTTCGCCCATTCAATGGGTGAACTTATGCATGGAAATTTCTCTTTCACACGTTCGTCCATGGGAAGGACGAACTTCCTCTTTGCATTCACTAGTTCGTCCAATCAATGGACGAACTCCTACTAAACCAGGGCATCCTTGTAAATAAGTTTTCAGAAAGGGCATTGTGGGATTATATTTTTCAGACAAGGGCAGGTACGTGAAAAAATCTCTCCAATCACCAAACCATCAATCTATGTTACACTTCAATTTGATCTAATTGAACTTATATTTCAAAAAAGTATATCTATCATAAACATTTTTTAAAATATATCTATTTTTTATGAATGTTTGCCAACAAATTTAACCAACTCTTAATGGACACACTGCCCCCAACAAATCATCAAAGTATCATTAATTTGCATCAACAAGAGCTATGGAACTGTGTTCAGCATTATGAACAAGCATAATCCATTCAAATAAGTCAAAATAATTCACATGTCTAAAGAAGACATTAACATCATCACCAAAGATAACCATGTCACAACCATAATTTATCATAGTGTGTACAATTAATTAACAGCCATAACAAACAGATAATCAATTATTTCCCAAAACATTACATCTCAAATTAATAATAATAATCCCATAAAATATAGTTTCTAGTCAAGCCTGACCAATGTTGTATAAGAACAAATAAGTTGTCTCCTTTATCGCCGTAAAATAGGACCTTTGTATTGCCCATTTCCAATATTCAGATCATTAGGCGGCGAAACCACTTCTAACTATGTGATTTCAGACGAATTCATTCCGCACAACTCATCGAACACTACAATTTTCAACAATAAACACCATGTAAGAAAATAAAATCATGCTTTAGAAATATTGTTTACTATCTTAAGATCATAGAAGCTACACTGAAGATAGGTATAATGATGATCAACAAAAAAAAAACTTAAAAGTCGGATATAAAGTTAACATGCACCAATATAGAAGTTCATAATCTTCCGTTTTACGAAAAATCATAAATACATTGATGTTGGCATGCATGGTAAGAGCACAGAATAACATCTACTACTGGAAGCAAGTATTTGAAGAATACATATATTGTCAGTAACGCAACCAGCCATATCGTGGCTATAAAATCAAGATCGGACAGTTTAGAAAGTTCGAATTTGAAATATGAAATGTCCTATCTTTATCCAATGGCCACTGACGCGGCTGACTTCGTGTTTGCACGGGATTGTGGCTGAGGACAACCTAAATCCTTTCACCGTTATATTAGCATTTTTAAGGGGTTTACATGACATGTTCTCTTTTTTTACTATGCACATAACTTTACTCTTGCTTTAAGAGTGACTCAGACGTTAGAGTGTTTTACAGATATCTATTCTTCTCTTCAATTGTTTAAATGTTAATGCCAAGCACATGAAATGTTGATTTTTTATTTTCAACTATTTTTATCTTAACTTTAGTTTCGTAAGTCTAAATGAAGTACCATTTGAAACGTTGGAGAGCTAACACGTAGAGCTACCTTAGGGTAGTGCCTTGTGCTAATTTATGTATGAATGTATGTTCAATGTGTGAATATATATTGTAAATTGTATGTATAATTGTGTGAATTATAATACATGTTTGCTTATGATTGATGAGACAAGTGGTTCGGATCGTAATGCATTGAATACACGATGAATTACAGTCAAAGTGAGGTTGTAATCATTGATATGTTATTGTCGTGTGATTGCTTATGGTTAGAGTGGGATTGTATTCATTATTGTGTTGTTGTCGTTGCATTGTTATATGTCATGCATCATATGTTGTCATTGTTGTGAAAGAGGTGAGTCACGAGTTCAGAGTGAGGACTAGTGACTTGTCCCAAGCTCAGAGTGACACTACTAGAAAAAGCACATTTAACGTCAGACGCGAAATGCATTTAACCTCGACTACATGGGCGAGGTAACAAAAAGCATCATGAAAAGTTCACACTTTACCTCTCAGTTTTAGAATAACTTACGGGTATGTGAAATGGTCATAGGTTCGTTCCTCAAGGAGACCTTTTTGTAATTCAAAAATGGAGAAAACACATGTCCCCTCGATTTTGTAATTTTACCGGCGGATATACCACATTTTCACCCCAGTTATCTAATAAAATCGAGGAAAAATAATTTTGAGTTTATTAAATCTAATATGGATTGATTATTTCACTAAACTCGATATTGAAATTATAAATTCTAAAAATTGGTTAGAAAAATAATTATATGAACAATTGTGTTATATTTGAAGAACAACTTACATTGATTATGATTTTGAAGCATTATGTAACTCATCATTCTTCTCATGGTATTTTATGGTTAAAATATCTTCAATGTTTCAAGTTCTTTATTCAATATTTCCTTTTCTACTAATTCATTCTTCAAAGCATAAAATTTGATGCTTTGAAAAATGAACAAACATGGAAGAAAGTTGAACAAAAACTAAAAGTATTTGGAGAGATTTTAACTATAAAACAACGTGAGATGAACGATGAGTTACATGATGCTAGAAAATCATTAATCAGTGTAAGATAAGTTTCAAAAACAACATAAGTTTGCATATGATTATTTTCAAACTCAATTTACTAGATTATATGTTCAAAGAGGGGTTAGTGAAAAAAACAGTCGACATTAGATATAATAAACTCAGTTAGATTGAACAAGAAAACGACAACAATATCAACACATCATCAAAAACAACAACGTTAATAAACAACAACAACAACAACAATGTCAATAAACAACCTCTAGAGTTTAGAGTCTCAACAACAAGAACAACAACATCGACAAAACAACATCAATAACAACAACCAAAACTATAGGGTTTATGATCTCAAAAACAACAGCAACAACAACAACAACAAAAATATGAGTAATGATGTTTAACGTACCAGATCTCAGAAGAAGTAAAAGAAAATCATTTGAATCTCTGAAGAAGAAAATAGAGCCCTAAACACATAAAATCTTTATATTGAAGATGGTATGTGTTTATAGCTCTCGTTATTTAGGGCACATCGTCAGGGTTCTGTTTGTGTTATTTTGATAAATGAAACTGAATGTTACAAGTTAAAGCTATATATATCAGAGAAACATATTCACTTCGGTTGATACGAAAATTGAGGGGTAAAGTAGCATACTTTTAAATTAAAAATAAAATACTCATGAATGCGCTACTTTTATTGAGATAAAAACATAAACTGAAATTGTTGGGATTCAGAGTATGTACACTGCATATGTTAACCCATTAGCTTTACATATAGGCGACAAAATATATTGTATATTTTTTTATAAAAATAAATAGGGTGCGTCCATGTATTTGACCTTGGTTTTTCAATTCGTGAGGTGAAATCGTTATCATGAAATGTATTATTTGTAGTAGTTTGGGGGCTTATAGCTCAGAGTGAGGGCTCGAGCTTCAGAGAGGGGGTATGATTCATATGAAGAACCAAATGTTGAGTCGGTACCGTATGCATATAGAGTTGAGTTGTGAGTCTAGTTCAGAGTAGGGACTATGATGAGCATGATTTGAGTCGATGTTGCAATGCATTATATAACGGTTCTGCAGATGAGATGTTTGAGTGTTGTTGAATACTCTTGTATGGAATTGTATGATTTTAAATGTGATGAATAACATTGTGATTGATGATTGATCGTGATGTGGGTGAAATAAGAATATGTGTTATCGTGGTGCATGTTTAGTATGTGTATAATTTGTGATGTATGAACCTACTCTGATTATTTTGTGCACCGATTATTATTTGAATATATTTTCACCCTCCCCTTTTGTGTTATTGTGTCTGCGCTCTTCTAGAGTACAGACAACCAAGTACCTGGGTAGGAGCTTGATGTTGAGGATGGTGTTGTACCTCTTTAGTTTCTTATCGATCGAATCTTATAGTTGAAGTCTTTCTAATATGTAACAAAGAGGGAACATATTATTCTACTATTTATTTTCTTATGTTGTATATCTTTCCTTTGTTTTGAATAATGAATCACTTTTTTAATTTATTGTTGTTAAGGCTTCTAATGCCAAATATTCTATAATATTTTAGTGCTTATCCAATGATTTAATTTTAATTATGTGATTCATGTATGTTTTGTTGTTCAATGACCAGAATCCTATTTAAAAGATTTATGCATTATTATACATGTTTTATTTAATTATTTATCTAGTCAAAAAGTAAAGTGTTAGCATTTTTTGTCTTTAATTTTTTTACTCATGAAATTCATTAAAATCTCCATATCAAGAATAACATTGAGATGCATTTTATTACCATGTTATTTCTCTATTTGTTTTCTGTCTAAATTCTCTACCAAATTCTCCACTGTTGGAGAAGTACGAACCCCACTTTCTTAATATATCTAGATAATGCTTTTTTTCTTGATCTTCTACCTCAAGATAGTCCTTTTTCATAACTTCCTGACATAATAGAGGAACACGTGTATGTTCTTCAATAATTTCATCAGTATCATCTACTATTTGGTAGAACCATATCCACAAGCGATTCTTTCTCCACACAAATTAGATCCATTTTTGATGTAATAACCTTTTCTGCATGCTGATTAATTTTGGATCATAAAGTGTCTTCTTTCTTAACCTCTTTTTTAGATGGTTTGACATTACTTTATCACGACAGTTTTCTAATGAATAACCAATAGAATGACAACAAGAAGTAATGTATTCAAATAAGAACAAGAATAATCCATTCAAATAAGTCAAAATAATTCACATGTCTAAAGAAGACATTAACATCATCACCAAAGATAACCATGTCACAACCATAATTTATCATAGTCTGTACAATTAATTAACAGCCATACCAAACAGATTATCAATTATTTCCTAAAACATTCAATCTGAAATTAATAAAACAATCCCATCAAATATAGTTGCTAGTCAAGCCTGACCAATGTCGTATAAGAACAAATAAGCCGTCTCCTTCATCGTCGTATAAGAACAAATAAGCAGCCTACATTTCCTTCATCGCCGAATAATAGGACCTTTGTATCGCCCCTTCCCGATAACCAGATCGTTGGGCGGTGGAACCACTTCTAGCCAGGTGACTTCAGATGGATTCATTCCGCGCAGCTCCTCAAGCACTACATTTTTTCAACAATAAACACCATGTAAGAAAATAAAATCATGCTTTAGAAATACGCGAAGAAAGTTTATAGAAGGAAGAGACAAGTACCTGGAAGATCTGTCTTTGGCGACTTAAGGAAATAAGAGCAGTTTCTTCCATTTTCTTCTTCTTCTAACGAGTACGGTGGAGAAAGAATGTCAAAGAGAGCGCAAGGGGTTACGGCTTTGAAGCAATGGAGGTTGCCGCCCCTATTCGGATGAAGAATTGTTGTGTCACAAGGAGCAGTCATTTGGCAGTCTCTGACATGTTTTGCGGGTCTCGCTGCACCTGTAGACAAATCTTGAATCTCATTTCTCTAGTTTAGGAAATGTTTGAGAATCATAAAATCGTATTGTTTAATGAACTTCATTATTTACTATCTCATAGAAGCTACACTGAAGATCGGTATAATGATGATAAGCAAAAAACTAAACAGTTGGGATATTAAGTTAACATGCATCAATAAATACGTCAATGGCCACACCGATGTGGCTGACTGCGTGAGTGCACAGGATTGCGACTAAGCACAATCCAAATCCTTTCACCGCCTATATTAGCCTTTTTAAGGGGTTTACACTCGATATGCTCTCATTTTTTACTATGGTCCTAACTCCACTCTGGCTCTAAGATTGACTCGGGCGTTAGAGTGTCTTTACAGATATCCACTCTTCTCTCCAATCGGTCGACCGTCATTGCCAATCACATGTAGGTGTCCAACCTCATGCCTGACATTTACATAATCCACTCAAATCGAAGCATATTATGAACATGTTTTCTAATAGATATCGATTACAACGAGAATACATAGCAGAAAACCAGTGACAGTACCAATTTCTCATAATGTTCTCAACGATTGCAGTGTAGCCGCATTTGCAATTGCAAACACTTGTTATAGTAAAGACAGAATCATAATCATAAACAAATACAATAACGAGTGTCACCTTGGGATAGATTATACGACGCAGGCAAGTCAATCCAATCAAATGCTTTCACAAGCAGCGAACCATATAGAACCTTGCTTAAAACCGTCATTCTAGGATGATCGTGAAGCGGAATTAAGGAACCTGGAGACATACAGAATATTCCAATCTACAAAAAAAAAGGTTCAGTTTCAGTTCAGTCCTTATGAATCTAAAACTCAAGGTCCAATCCAAGCAAGAATCTATCCAAATAGAGTAACAAAAAGTAAACAGTGCCAAGCTGCAGAATACAGAAAAAAAAATTCAAAATCCTTACAGAGAATTTGTCACACTCATGAAGGTGAATGTACTTAATAGGCGGTTCGGATTCGTGATGAGTCTCATCTCTCCCCTTTTTCCCGTTACGACCATTCACAGAACTTTTCCAACCTCGCGCCAGCTGCGCCTCGTGTTCAAGACCAACATGAGAAGGCTTCAACCCATCTACCATAGCAATGCAGTTTACGAAAAGGCTAATCAACACAACGACACACACTTCACCGCAATAATAACGACACTACATATACTAAAACACGCATGTATCTCAAATCAAACACTACATTATACACAGTTCACAGGCAATTTCAAATCATTCACTGAAACATTCATCAAATGCAATCGTAAAAAACAACAAAGATCAGATTGTACCTAAAACGGCTCGGACTTTTTCAAGAGCTTCTTCTGAAATAGGCCCCTCAGTAGACAAAGAAGCCTTGCAGATATCATACAACTTCTGAATATATGGCATTGTAATAAATGATTCTTAAACAATCAATGCAGTATCTAGGTTTTCAGTTTCTGTTACAATCCAATAAACACCAACTAAATTGGATCCAAAATATAACTTGCTCGGTTTAAATTCAATCAAAACAGCAAAAGTAACAGCTTCCTTTCTACGCAACAAAACATCTGCATGACAAATTCATCAACTCAAATCCAATCAACTGCATCTGCAACCATCATAAAAGACGAAAATTCACAACACAAATCAGAAATTCAATCAACTTCAAACCATATAAACTCCACAAGTTCTTAACTTTATAAACACCATCATAAAAAAAAAAAAAAAAAAATTCAATCTTTAAATTAAAAAACAAATTTTTTCTCCTTCTGAATCATTAATCCATAGCCCACCAAGTTTCATATATTGAAAATCAAACATCCTTAAACAATACGAATGAAAAAACAGATTTTTAAGGAAATAATGAAGTGGGGTGAAGAAAAGTGTGATACATGAAACATTGCTTGGTGTGTTGTGTTGGTCAGGACATAATCGAGGTTAGGGGTGAAGAAGGGAGCAGAAACACGAGAAGAGAACAGGAAACAGAAGCAGAGACAGAAGACAACAACAAAAGACACTCCCAAACTTCAACAAAACCTGATGTCGCTTTTAGAATGACCCTTTGTTTGGAATAACCCTTTTAAAGAAGCAAAAGATAGAGAGAGAAAATGATTAATATTAAAGAAAAAGAAATTAAAAAAAGAAAAAAAGAAAATCAGATATATTTTTTTTCACGATATGTACGTTTGAGAGAAGCAGAAAACAAAAAATGTATGCGTCTTTTGGAAAAGATGCTTTTCATTTGATCTCTCAGATGACTACGGTCAAAATTATTTTTTTAATTCATTAAATAATTGATTTTAATGTAGATCAGATTAGATGTATCAATTATTCGATGAAATTAAAACGAGAATATGTTTGTTCAAAAATGACTTTCTATATACGTATGATTAATATTTGAAACTTTTAATTTTTTTTTTCCTATTTTTATGAAGTAAAAGTGAATATATTTTTTGACCAAAAACTCTATATTTGGTTTAAATTAGTTTTATAAAAGAATATTCCTATAAGAGTATCATAGAAGTTTCTTAACAATACAATATTGTTTTGGTGTGGCACATGGTATTTTAGATTAAACAAGATGGTTTTATAGGATTAAATATTAATTTTAATTATTTAATAGTGTAAAGGTTGAAGAGAAAAAATGTGATATAGAAGACAGAAATTATTTTATGAACTAAGTAATTTGTTGATAAAATCTTTTGCTAAGTTGAAAATTTTGTTACTATCCAAAAATTGAGTTAAGATACGTGAGTAAAAAAAATTGTAAAATGGATTCTTTGTAATCTTATCATTGGGATACTTTAATGACATTTAATAAGATAGTGTTCGTTAAGAGTGTGTGCATAAATTTAACTAATTATAATTTACTTTGAGTTTTAACTATTTTTTAATAACCATTAATAAATAGAAACGGTACTATAAAACTGTTATATAAATTTATTGATTGTTTTTCTTAATTTATATGAATAATTTTTAAAAGGAAATGTTTGTAAAAAGGAGATAGCAACATTTTTAGAAATAAGTTAAAATTCTATATAGATGTTTCAATCCAATTATTAGTTTTAATAAAATCTAAAAGTAGTAAGATAGGAATAAATAGTATATATTCTTTAAGGAAAGGATAAATAATTACATCCAAAATAAAAAGAAATTATTATTATTTTAATATGTGTAAATGAATTTAAAACTACAATTAAAAAAAAAGTATTACTCACCAACTCCCTTATCATTTTTAAGATAAATGTTGCCTTAGTTAAAAGTAATATTCAAAAACAAGTTTCATTTTACTTTTTCAATATATTACTAATTACTTTATTTTATTTCAAACTAATGCAGAATTTTAAGTAATTAAATTTTTTTTATAATTATAATAATTTTTAATAAATAATAATGAATATAAACAGTTTTATAAAATTATCACTATTTGATTTATTCATTGGTTTTTAATTTATATGGAGAAATTTTAAACAAAAATAATTTTAAAAATGATTTTTCTTTAGCGAGGGAGAGTGTGTTCGACATGAAAAAAAAATCGTTAATATAAAAAAAAAAAGTTGTTGTGTTGGTCAAAAGGTACAGTTGTGAGGTATTCGTACTAGGGTAGAGGATATTCAAAAGTCTTAGTAGATATATAATAGTTAGGGTTTGTCCGCAGCGACGAAAAGATTTGTATAATGGTTTTACGATGTTTATGGTTGTATGAAAGGACAGCTAATGTGAGGTGAGAGGCTCACTATATCATGTGATATGTAATTAAGTTAGGATATGTCTTTTTTCCTGTTAGGGGACAAGTATTTACAGAGACCTTTGACTCTAAGACTTATAAAATTCTAAGGCTTTATTTGAGAGTTTGGAGGGAAAGGGAAGGGAGGACTTTGAAAAATATATTTTTTTTAAAATAAAGAAAACTTTAATATTTTTGAAAAAAAAAAGATTTTATTTAGAATGATAAAATAGTGCTTATCATTAATTTTTATTTTTTGAAATACTATAACAACAAAAATTATATTTGAATAATTTGTCTAAGCCCTCTAAAATCCTCATTCAATATAAATTTTTGAGTTCCCCAAACTATGAGATTTTTTTGGGGTTATGAATAAAATCAAACCCTTAAAAACTCTCTCAACCAAAATCTTTCTATTCTTTTCACCAAAACATTTCTATTTTTTAATGCCCTCCCCTCTCTTCCCCCCCCCCCCCCCCCCCCAAACTCCGAAACAAAATCTAAGGGATGGTAATCGCTCCCTCTTAACTGGATGAGAATTCCACACTAGAAGATCGAACGCGGAGATGGAGAATCATAGAGTACGTGGGAATCAAGAATCAATCCCCGCAGGCGACGCCATTGTTCTATTCTAGATTCAGAAATGTGTAGAGTTGCGAGAGTTGCGGCGGAGGAGAGCTTCCTATACGACATAGCAGGGGGGTATACTTGCAAGGTTAGAACTCCAATGCTCAAGTTAGTATATGAATGATGAGAAAATATTCAAATTGTGTTTGAAACTTTTTACCTGAAATCACGTCATCCCGTATATATAGGGAAAAGAAATAATTGTCTTGCTACTTTTTTGACGTGGAATGCAAAGGACCGTTGGATGCATTAGAGATACGAATATCCTTCTTCTAGATCTCTGAAGGTCCAGTAATCAAGATAATATCTAAGAAGCTTAGCAAATACCTAATTTGAATATGAGACATCACATCTTGTGATGTTCGGACTAAAATGGGATATGACCGGACCTGAGCAATTTGGAATGTTCTTTTCTTATGGTGGTTGGGTCCCTGGAAATGTGGCCAGATCGAGATGGATACGTCCATCCTGGAACAGGTTCCCCCCTAAGCCCTGGAATTTAGGGAATAAGCGTGAGGATTTGAAGGATCCTAAACATCGGTTATCAATTATACTTTCTTTGCTTCCACTATTTTGTAAGTCCAAATGTCTTTGGGGGGGTGATTATGATATTTCTAGGGAACTGAAATGCTCAAGTGTTACGTGCAAGAGAGTGATTGTTGATAAGACACATTTCATTTCATAAAGCCAATTCATAAATATATGAAGAACTAGAGTCACTTCTTTTCTAGGTTTTCTTTCTCCTCGTTCCTAAATGGTTACATATTTTTCTCCACTGAAGCATTTCTTCCTTGTTCTTGAATTTACTAATACGATATTGCAAAAAGATCTCAGAAAATTATGAAAAAGAATATGGTGACCCATTATCTCCATGGGAAGGTTCTGTATTTTCTTCAACTATCTCGATCTTTACCAAATAGGGAACTTAAATGGAGCTTTTTATAATATGGAAGAACCGTCGCTTTGGGGGCTTACTATTCCTAGTGATAAAGACATAATTTGTATTGAGTATGGTATTTATACCATTCCTTTATATGAGTATCGTTTTCATCTTTGGGGGCTTCATTTTCCCTTTACCGCTTTTGAAGTAGGTGCTTTAAACTATTTGATGGTGGCTCCATCTCAACTTCATCCCCTTGGTTAAGCGTATGGTAAGGCCTATTAGTACTAGTGTGAGTATCTGAAGAGAAAACATTTTGTTGTTTTTTTCTTTCATCTCTTCGACTACAACTGGAGTACTTTAGCCCGACCAAGGGAGTGGGAGTTAGTTCTTTTGGTGCCGATGGTTCATGTTTTTAAAGTTTTTCCATAGCCACCTGTAAGAGCAAGATTTGTCTCTACAGGATAATCTCTATGTTTTGATGATAACAATTGAGCATTTGTGAAAGAACCATTTTATGGTTTAATATTTGTTATGTGCAGGTCATATTAAATTAAATATATTAAGACCAAACAAACAGAAGCAACGTGTGCAGCTAGTAACTTATGGAATTACTTAGTGTGACGTCATGAAGCGCTTGTAAGAAGCTAGTTTGCTTATGTATCTGATCATGTTCAGTAAAGAATCAAGGATGCTGGATATTGCAGTTGTAATGCATCTATGGATTCTGCTCTGAGTTATGCATCTGATATGGAAGCTAACGAGCATCTTTAAAGAGTGAGTCCTATGAAGAACAAAGTGCTGAAGACTCTGATGACTTGAAGTTCTGAAGGCTGAAGGCTTTGAAGACCAAGTGCGTCAAGACTCTAAAGACTGGTTCTGAAGGTCAAGACTCTGAAGACAGGTTCTGAAGGTCAAGACTCTGAAGACAGGTTCTGAAGGACAGGACTCTGAAGAAGTGTTCTGAAGGTCAAGACTCTGAAGAAGTGTTATAAAGGTCAAGGCTCTGAAGATTCTGAAGACATGGTTTCTGAAGAATTAGTCATGAAGATTCTCAAGATTGTTTCAGAGGAAACTTAATTCTTGGAATGATGAAGACTGGATTCTGAAGTGGAAGATTGTGTCAGAAGAAGATTCATTCAGATGCAAGACTTGTTACATCAGATAAGCTGT